TAAAAGTTACGCCTTCTTTCTTTGCGTGAACATTTGGGCGGCGTTATGCAAATCTTCCCACATAGCGACATAGACATGTGGGGGCGTGTTAGAACGAGCTGTTTTAGGAGGGTGTGGCTGACTCTTAACTTTTATAAAGAATATCTCTTTGGATTTGAGATCTTCTTTATGCACCAAGAGCTTGTAACACTCCAAAAAGAAAGGAAAAATTTAAATCGCATCATATGACCCCTTTAATAAATCCATCCACCCACTATGGTCAAAAGCAGGCGTCATTTTCTTTGTCCAAATTATATTTTCCTTATTTTGATGTAAAAGGTGTGATTTTATTTGACAATCCATAAAACAGCTAGTTCTGATACCCAATTCTGATTGGATGAGTCATGTTTGAAGCTGCTGACAAATTACTCTGTTTCCTGGAAACCATAACAAGCAGTTAGGCTAATGAACTATATAACATGGCAGATTTATTTATATATTTACATTATACTTATTACAGGTTCAGTCCACCTGGATCAACACAAGATCACAGACACAATGGTTATAGTTCATAGATCAACCTTTAAACAGAATATTTTCATATCTCCACACCTGCAGTGATCATACAGATCTGAGCATTTAGAGAATGAATCAATGCTCTTCTCAACATCAAGCCGTGACACGCCTCACAAACTCATGGTGCAATCAAAAGCTTCTTTCATCATCATCTTTCTCTTATGTAGTTTTCACCTCCCTGCCTTCATTCTGCTCCGACCCTGAGCCGTTAAACATGTCCATCTCTGTCCTGCTCTCATATTTCATGAGCGGAGATCAGCCGCTGTGTGTGTGTGACTAAAAGACTCATATTTCTGATATCTGATGGGATTTACGAACACACAGAGCTTTATTCATGCACACACACGTCTGTCTCATGGCACACGGATCACTGGTCCTCAAGGGTTCATTCGTTCACTAAACTCTCCATCCAGGATTATTTCTGTAACCTGAGATCCATTCAGGGTCCTCTGGCACCCTTACAAAAAAGCAGCATGGTCCAGTGATGGTATCAGATGATAATACCGGGGTCTTTAAGTGGTACTGTAAGGTACTTTGAAGAATACCATGTATTATCATTGCTATCCTTGCTGGATGGGTCAAAGGAGATTAGTGTGAGTGTGAGTGTGTGTGTGTG